ACACACACACACACACACACACACACACACACCCCAACCATGAAGAGAGAGGAGACTGCTTTCGGGGCAATGCCAAGACATCCAGCTGTTGGAAGTTAGGTATTCATTAGGTCCATACGTGGGAATTGGTTCTGGCAAATCTGGAGGAGACCCTGTGTTCAAACAAATGGTATTTGTTGATTGGTAATTGAGGCCCTGGGAAGAGTCAATCAGTCTAACTGGGTGGAAACAGAATTAAAGTGCATTTTAGAACTATGCTTTCTGACAAATGATTCTGGGCTGCTGCTAAGACAGCATGAGGATTGAAAACTCTCTGCCTAATCTGATAGGTGATACCGATCAATGCTTCATAGAAAAGTAGCTAAGGAGTCCACATTTATACCTGTGAAATGACACAGTGTGAAAGCCATTGAAGTAACCTGGCTAGTTTTGTTACCTTATTTTGTTTAACCTTAACTATATTTGTTTGTGTGAATGGAGGCTGAAAACAAATAGTTTGGATTTAAAGCATAAACATTAATTAGCCTAACGTGTTGTTTAATTTTCTCGCTGCTTCAGTTATTTTGGACGAAATACATATTTAAGTTACAAAACCAGTGTATGGAAATTAATTATTTACAAAGTCTGGTTAGCAATGAACTATATGGGGGTCTTTTACAGTTTAATTTTACTGCTTTGCAAATACAGAGGTAGAAAGGCTGATTTGGTTCAGCTGTCTACCTCTGCGTTGTAACAATGTAAGTAAATCTCCCATTTATGGTCGTTACCTTGCATATGGAAACTACAGATGTGAAGGAAATATCTTTCAAGTCCCTCAGGAACTGTATAATAATTTAAATATAAGAAGTAACAAAGGTGGAATCTCATTCTTAGGTCAACCTGTCAGTCTTCAGTTACATTTCATTTGTTTATTCATTAGGATCTAATTATGTTGTGATATTTTGTTTCATATTTTTATAAATTTCTGATACTTATACTGAACACACACCTTAACTGGAATTAGAGTTTCCAAGAGTTTATCCATAATGTGTATCCTAGCTGTTAAGAGCGCTGAACTTGGATGGAGGTTATCCTCGTCTCCTTGCACTTTCAGTTGTGCACACAATTTTTCCCAAGCTCAGATCGACATCCCACCAAAATTACAGCAAAAAATGAAGAGAGGTCCTACAGAGATTGAAGGACTAGACATAGAACAGTAACGTTTTGTTTGGAATTGGGCATGCAGCATGTTAGCATGCACTCTAACCAGGTTAGGGGGAGCTGGTAGTGACTGGACTAGTAATCCAGAAGCCCAAACTAATATTTGATCACATTACTGCAGAAGGTTAAATTTGAACTCAATAGAAAAGCCTAGAATGGAAAAGCTAAGCTAATTGTGTCCATGTACCCACTATAAATTGTTAGGAAAGAAAAACCCATCCGGTTCGCTGAAGTCTTTTAAGGCAGGAAATCTGCCATCCTTGCCTAGCCTTGTCTACATGTAATTCCAGACCCACAGCAATGTGGTTAATTTTTAACTGCCCTCTGGGCAATTAAGGATGAGCAATGAATGCTGGTCTAGCCAGCAATGCCCACATCCTGTGAATGATTAAAAAGAAATCCTCCTGCATTGAATAATGTATGATAAGGAGTAAGACTGGGGTGGACAACGTCAGAAGTCACATGACACCAGTTTAAAGTCCAGCAAGTTTTTTTGAAATCACAAGCTTTCGTAGCACTGCTCCTTCATCAGGTGCGTTCCAAAAGCTTCTGACTTCAAATAAACGTATTGGACTATAGCCTGGTATCGTGTGACTTCTGATAGAAAGATGCAGACGTGGTAAACTGTCTTATTCTTGTGTTCTGACCCTTTGATTTATAAGTACATGTAGATAGGCCCATGAAAAGGCACACCTGTTTGTGATACTGATCTGTGCTAAGATGTTGCTCTCTGTTTATATCTTCAGATTCTAGTGAGAAGTAACAATCTTTCAGAACGGGTAATGGTTCTGGAAGGGAAAATCGAGGAAATTACTATTCCTGAGAAAGTGGACATCATTATTTCAGAACCTATGGGATATTTGTTATTTAATGAGAGGATGCTCGAAAGCTACCTCCATGCAAAGAAGTGGTTGAAACCAAATGGTAGGTCAATACATGCAGGAACGTGTAATTTGTAGTCTGAATGTTTAAAAGTTGTCTAAGGTTTGGGTGTGAGGTCACTTGATGTGTTAATGGGAGGTCGATAACTAAAGAATCTAGCAATATTTTGAAAGAGAGTGAAGTTTTTTTTTGCAGCAAGGTATGTTTGTGTTGGGAACGGAATATTTTTCGTACCTTTGTCACCCAATGTTAGCATCAACTTCTCTGAAACCAGGCTAGGAGCAATGTAGAACTTTCTCTGTTCTGTCCTAACAGTGTGTTTCTACTCGATTTGATGGTTACTTCACTCCATAAGAAATTTGAATGTTTTCCTGGGTCAAGTATCTAATTCCTGAGTCAGGGATAGGTTTCTTTAGAGTGGACTCGCTGGTTTTAAGAACTGTTGAGCTCATTCAATTTCAAGGATGTATTTCAGCTCCTTACCATTAGCTGAAAGCAGAGCGACATTAAAACTCAAATTCATGAGGGAAAAGGGCAATATTCTAACTAACTGCACCATCAGACCTAAGTGTTCAGAAAGAAAAAGCCTTGTAGCCTATACTTCCTTCCAGAACACACAAGTCTTCACTTTCTTCAATCTCCAATGAACGTGAAGTATCTTATATTTATTTCAAGCATCTGTTCACACTGTGGCATATTGCATTGGAGCTCAGTCAAAGGACTCAATTTGTGTCTGTAATTTCTTGGTGATAATGTTCTAAAGACAAGGATCCTGCCTTTGCATCAGGAGGCATCAGAAGGTCAGGCTTGCAGACTGTTTTTTTCACATGTTTAGGCTTTAATGAAAATAAGGATGGCATTTGCTATCCCTTAAAATAAGGCAGTGTACATTTTTATAATCATTATTACAGATCTGTTGAAGCTAGCATGTTTATACCCCTGCTGTGTATGTTTTCTTAGGGATGATGTTTCCTACTTTTGGTGATGTTCATCTTGCTCCGTTTTCTGATGAGCAGCTTTACATGGAACACTACACAAGGGCAAATTTCTGGTATGTCCTCATGAGAGGCTCTGGCAATGTTTACCACCATCTGAAACTATTTGAGGACAACTTGTTTTCTGAAGAAATGGGCATATTATTATGAAATGCTTAGATCACGAGAAGGAAATGATGTTTTTTTTTAAATCTATCCCATTGGAATGCATTATGAAATGGATCTTGTAAGGTGGGATGTTGCATGTAAATGCCAAAATCCAGTTTCTATGTGCAGATGTGTAAAAGCTTAACTTTTTATGAGTTATGTGTCATGTTTTTATCTGTTTGAGTAGGATCCTGTTACAAAGCTGCTGATTAATCCTGGTGACAGATTTTCCAAAAACTCAGCACAGAGCAAGTCAGTTGTATTTTTTAACCTGTATTTAAGAAGTGCAAGATTCATTTACCTCATATTTAAACAAGTTTAATCATGAAATGTTGTCATTTGAATAGCTGCTCTCCATGTTTGGCATCGCTTCCAATGTCATTTGTTTTCCTTCAGGAACCTGGATCTTACAAGTCTTACCTTTATGGTGGTTCCCTTTACAGCCAGAAGAAAACAGGACCAATTTGCAATGACAACAGCGTGTAATTAAAATGTGCCATTTATGTAATAAAATGTCCCAAGACACTTCGCAGGAGCATCAAGACCAAATATGACGTTGAGCCACATAAGAATTTTTAAAATTAATTTGGTGATGTGGCGGTTTATTGTCCATCTCTGTTTTCCCTTGAGAAAGTGCCACCTCGAACCGCTGCAGTCCATTTGCTATAGGTAGACAAACAATGCCATAAAGGAGGCATTTCCAGGTTTTTGGCCCAGTGACACTGAAGGAATGGCCATATATTTCCATCCAAGTCAGGATGGTGAGTGGCTTGGAGGAGAACTTGCGGGGTGCTGGTGTTCCCATGTATCTGCTGCCCTTGTCCTTATAGATGGAAGTGGCTGTGGGTTTGAAAGGTACTGTCTAGGAAACCTTGGAAAATTTCTGTAGTGCATTTCTGTCTGGATGTTGGATAAGCAGTCTGCTAATTAAGCAAAAGAGAGCAATGCTGGTGAGCTACAGTTAACTGCTGGGCACATATGAAAGCTGATGCGGTGGTTTTTGATTAAGCTGCCAAATGACAGTATGAGGATGAGAACTAAGGGCCAAGGATAGATCCTCGCAGACTCCAGATGTAATGGTGTGGGAGCGGGACGAAAAGTCACTGTAATGAATATTCACATAATAAGTATTGCAGACATGGAGAGTCAAGACAAAGTTCATTCTTTAGATTAGGCATGTTAGAAAGCAATGAAATCCAGGTGATGGAAAGTGTATTGGTGTGACAAATGAGGGGATTGGCAGGGGAGAGATTGTGAGAAGGACTACAGAAAATGATGATGGAGTGTTCATAGAATCCCTGCAGTGTGGAAGCAGGCCATTTGGCCCATTGAGTCCACACTGACTCTCCGAAGAGCATCCCACCCAGATGCATTCCCCTACGCTACCCCTATAATGCTGCATTTCTCATGGCTAATCCACCTAACCTGCACATCCCTGGATACTATGGACAATTTAGCATGGCCAGTTCACCTAACCTGCACATCTTTGGACTGTGGGAGGAAACCAGAGCACCCGGAGGAAATCCATGCAAACACAGAGGGAATGTGCAAACTCCACACAGACAGTCACCCAAGGCTGGAATTGAACTGGGTTCCTGGTGCTGTTGGGCAGCAATGCTAACCACTGAGCCACTGTGCTACCCTGTATGGCAATGGACCAGTACTGATTTCTTGCTTATATGGGAATGGTGGAAATTGGAGAGGAGAGTTGGTGGAGTACCAGGCAGTGACTTCCTGTCATTGGAAATGCGTGCTGCATCTTCATATCCTAACTCCATCGTCCCTGTGTTGGAGTTGGTGAGCGTGGAATCTTCTCGTGGGAGAGAATGCTACAGTGCTTTGATTTTTTTAACAGAACGGGGAATGATGCAGAGGCTGAGAGGCCGGTTTGGACACAAGTTGTTTCTCAGTGAGTTGGAGGGAACATGTTTTTTACAGGCTGAGCATATGGATTACTGCGGGAATAGGCCAACATTTGTCGAAAACAGGGAATTAGCTTAAGCTCCTGAGCGAGAATTTAACCCTTGAAGTGAAAAGCTCTATGTCTGTGGTGGGGGGAGAAATATCTGAATTTTTCTTTGGATGAAGGAAGGTCACTTTCACCTTCTTTGGGAACAGGTTTGTAGCCCAGATGTGTCTTCAAGATGATGCCTGCGGTGATTTAATTTCCATGATACTTCAGGCTAGAAGTTATTTTGTAGATGAATGACATAGGACTGCATCTAACACTAAAACGTTTTCCTTCCACTTGTTATTAGATGCATGGGATATGACGCAGAACATGTAAGTGATCCATCACAGGAATGTGGCGTCCTTGTGAACAAAGCTTTATGAGCTGTGTACAGCACAGGTTTCTACAAGACCAGAAATTTCCAGTACTTGCAAACATTCCAAATAAGCTTTCTATCAGACTGTCATTTACAGATGAATGCCCACATTTATGTTAAAGTCAGTGCTGACAGCATTTCACCGAAGCCTGCATTTCCTAGTAATTCCTTGGAATAGACTGTGTTGACCAGCACACTCTGGCTGGGTTGGTGTTATCACAATTCAAAAATCCCTGAAATCCTAATCCAATCTATTCTAACATCTAGGTGTTTTCAATGGGTGGATCTTCCATCTTTACCCATGTTGCTGCCAGCAAATGTTTTCCCCACTGAAGTTTGATCTCTGTATCAGAGACTCGCTAATTTTTAGTTCTTCGTAAGGGAACGCTAAAACTTTTTCATTTGAAAGATCCAAAATACTGACTTGCATTTGAAATGATGGTGTACCACTTTATGGGATATATCTTGACTTTGTGCAGTACTGTAAAGCCTGATTTTTTTTTTCCCATCGGTTTATATGGAATTAACGTTTGAGAGATGTAAAACCTAGACTTGCTCTGATACAAAGTCATCATGCGCCCATAAATGTCTTTGTTAGACACTAACGTTGTCTATCACAGCTTCACATTTCATGGAAGAAAAATTAAGAAGTTGTACTGGGCTACTTGTTCTCTGCTGCAAAGAAAACAAATCAAGCACATGGATATCAATCTCAGAATATGGACAAAATGCAAAAGAAAGCCACAGGGAAGTTGTAGAAAAGTAATGGCTTCAAAGACATATAAGCCAGGAATTTGCTCAGGAGTTCTCAGAATTGACTCAAGTGACTTTCATGGCTGTGTAAACAGACCTACCAACAATCCTCCACTAAAGTCGTGGCATCCAGTTTGGAGAAACTGCAAAGCAACAGCTGAAGTTAGTTTAAATCAAATAAATAATCTCTGGATGTCACTTGGCAGATAACCTTTAATATGCTCACCAATTAATCTCGTACATTATGTAACTGGCAAAGCTACAGTTTAGGTTATCCTCAGTGAATGGAGAATGACGTATTAGAACTTTGTGTGAATTGTGTACGTATGCTGAAAAAAACACACTCCCACTTGTCTTCAACACTTCATGTGAAACACTAAATTGGTAGCAGATGTGATGTGCTATGAAAGTTACCATTGCACTGAAATATTTTCTGTGAAGCATGAAGCGGTTTGAGAAGTTGCGTCATTAAATTGCACATGAGTCGAAGTTTGCGGAGTGCTTCTATAAGTATGGTTGTCTTGTTTTTAGGTTGCTGTTGACCTACTACATAATTTATAAGGAGAAAAGGATAGCAATTTGAGGGAAGATTGGATTTAAATAGGTCAAAAAGAAGACTAATTATATTAAAAGAATTTGAAAGGTCAGATATAAAACATAACGCAAGGAAATACTTGAAGTATTCTTGTAGAAAGGAGGATTAAAAACCTTAGGGAATAATGAGGATCAGTTGTAAGCCAAGGATACAGATTAGTAACTGGTTAAGGGGATTGAAGCAGATGGTTGTTATAAAAGGAACAAGGTCAAATTGGGGGAACTATTATGTAAGGAATCATGCAAATTAGTTTTGGTGTTTGCTTCTCTTCTGTTCCTGACGTACATAAGTTATCTGAAGTTGCAGTCAATTGAAGGAGTAAAATGTGCAGATGACAGTAAACTATGGGAAACATGGATCCAGAGCTGATAGCAATGATCTTACTAAGAAGGGAAAGGGTTGATAATAGCAAATGATGTTTAAAATGAATAAATACGAAGTCAAGTTTTTTTTTATTATACATTCACGGAATGACGGTGATGTTGCCCAATCGGTTATAAGTGATTGTCCATCCTTATTGCCCTCGGGGAAGGAGTTGGTGTCTTGAATCACTGCATTCCATATGGCCCAGGTGTACCCAAAGTGCTGTTAGGGAGAACATTCCAGGAATTTGATCTAGTAACAATGAAGGAATGTGTGTAGTTCCAAACCATGACGGTGTGCAGTGTGGAGGAAAACTTGCATGTGGTTGTGTTCCCATGCATCTGCTGCCCTCATCGAATAAGGTAGAAGAGGTTGCAGGATTGGAAGGTGCAATTGGAGTAGTTTTGATGAACGACAGTAGTGCCTCTTGAAGATGGCATTCAATACTACAGTTTTACATCAGTGGTGAAGGGGACAAATGTTGAAGGTGGTGTCTAGCATACCATTTCAAACAGGCTGCTTAGTCATGGATGGTGTCAAGCCTCTAGAGTATTGTTCGACCTGAATTCATTCAGGACAGTGGAGAATATTCCATTACACTCCCAACCTGTATCTTAAGAGATGGTGGGCAGGCTTTGTGGAGTCAGGAAGTGAGTTACTCACCACAGAATTTCCACCCTCTGATGTTATTTATATGGCTATTCTTGTTCAGTTTCTGGTCAATGATAACACTGACAATGACACGTTCACCCCTTTTGTGACGTTTGAGAATAGACTGATTGGGCGATAATTGGCTGTGTTTGATCTGTCTTTTTTATGGATAGGACATGTCTGAGCAATTTTCCACGTTGCCACTTGGATGCCAGTGCCATAGATGCACTGGAACACGGCATGTCTACTTCTGGAGTATGAATCTTTAGTACTATCACTGGAATTTTGTTAGAGCCAGTAGTCCTTGTACTACCCAATGCCTTCAGCCATTTCTTGATAACATGCAGAGAGTGAATCGAATTGGCTGAAAACTAGCATCTGTGATACTGAGGATTGACTTAATGGATCATTTGTGCAGCACCTTTTTTTTTTCATTGATTCACTGAGACTTAGACATTGCAGGCCAGGCCTGTACGTATTGCTCATCCCTAATTGCCCAGGGAAGGAGGGCAGATTTCTTTCGCTAAAGCACATTAGTGAACCAGAGAGTTTCTTTCCAAAAATCGGCAATAGGTTTTTTTTTCAATTGAATGTGAATTCCATCATTTGCCATGGGCAGTACCTGGACATTGATAGTATAGTGTTAATACCACGAGGCCATTGCGTCCCTCTGGTTGAAGATGTTTGCAAATGCTTCAGACTTGCCATTACAATAAATAAAAATGCATATTGCAAACAAAAAAAAAATCATGAATATGTATTTGAAGAATGCATCAAAATTTGTCAAGGAAGAATGTTGAAGACACCATCTCTAAAGGCAGCAATCAAGAAACCACATGGAATATTGAGTTATATCCTCAGAATCCTGCCAAAGGTATAGTCATGTCATTACCTGGAATACAAAATTGGATACTTTGAATTCGGGAGACCATCCAGCCTCTGCTGGTTCCTGAGGGATGAGTGATAAAGAGGGGTGTGTCTAAGGTGTGGTTTTCAACCTTGACAGGAGGTATCTCCAAGGGTACCAGATTGAGGTATTTCACATACTTAATGCTACAGAAAACCCTAGCTTGTGACAACACGTTCAGAGATGCCGAAGCCGCAGGACCTGAGGACACAAGTATAGAGGTATGAATGACCAGGATATAGTTCTTCCAAAACAGCAACTGCTGTAATTGCTTGTTGAAGATGGTTATCCCTTTCAGGAAACTGGACCCATTTAAAAAGTAGCTGGATGTCCTAATGGGAAGAAAGTAAAATTGGTATTTTAGATGAATGAGTTCAAATGGCTGTAAGATGTTGTAATGTAAACCCATCCTTTAATAATACAACAATTTTGTGTAGCTTTTTATGTCTGTCACAATGCATTGTGTTACCAAACTCTCAGATGTGACAACTTCAGGTGCTCCCAGTGACATTTACAGGTAAAACCAGAGATTGGACAGTCACAGAAAAGTTCCCCATAATAACAAGTCTGATGCCGTGATAAAATCACACATGGCATAAGTTAAGCTCCTACGACCAAGCTCATAATTACTACTGGAATTACAGTTTTTAATTTGTTACCCATGTTGACATGCTGACCCTCTTCCCTACTCCAGGTACCAGCAGTGTTTCCATGGGATTAATTTGACCGGCCTTTGCAGTGCAGCTATGGAAGAGTACTTCAGTCAGCCAATCGTAGTAAGTATGACTGTCAGCCTCTATGTGCAGATGAGAATTAACGTCAAAGATATTAATGGGAAATTATCAAGTGTGTACACAAAGTAGCAGCAAGAGTAGCCCACATAGCCCCTTCGCACCTCCTCCACTGTTCAGTACGATCATTGGCTAGTGTTGAAGCCCAGCAAACCCTGGCTTCAATTATTGGCTCTTACAGAGTGGAGAAAAGTCGTTTTACTGTAACTCACTAACCTCTTTTATTTACGTATTATGAAGAGGCATACGTATGGCTTATACATTAGACAATGAACAAGTAATTCATACGTTTTCCCGAAAGAACTGGGACCTATCTGTACACCAACAAAAGGCTCCTAACACTTCCAGAATAGTCACAGAATGTAAAAGCGAATACCCGGGCAGAATAGCTGCTGTGGCTGCTGAGGATCGATGTTGGTCAGATGCTGCACTCGATGCCAGGGTCACCACGTCCCTGACCAGGGGTACCCATCTGAGGGAGTTAATCTCCGGAGTTTTCGCTGGCTGCATGCCCCGAGGGTCGTCTTTTATCCTTTTTCCTTATCTCTCCCAAGCCGTGTTGTCTTTTTCCTGTTGGCTCAGGCTAATTCAATTATCACATGTGTTTACTTTAATGGCCCTGGACCAGAGACTTGGGTAGCATTACTTCATCCAAATAAGGCTTTTGCATTACCTCATCTGTCTTACTGTTTTTTTGCAGAGCTTGGTTGGCACCAAGTGGTTCTGATTGGCTCAGGCCACCTCCTAGGTCTGGGTTATCCTCCGTTCATAAGCTGCTTCTTTCTTTATGTCAGCATTTTTTTACATCTAGTATCTTCTATTAGCAATATCAGCAACTGGCACCCCCTGTCTCCACTTTTCTCCCAGGCAGCAATATCAGCAGCTTGTCTGCCTGCCTCTTTCTCTCTCTTTCTGCAGCGTCTGGCTAACACTAGTCATCCAACTCAACCCTCTGTTCCAGCTTTCCCCCCAGAGTCTTAAGACCCATATCTATCTCCTTCTTGAAAACATTCAAAGTTTTGACCTCAACCATTTTCCAGGGCAAAGAATTCAACAGGCTCACCGCTGTCTGGTTGAAGACATTTCTGCTCATCTCAGTTGATGATTTCTCTTCATCACCTCTTATTCTTCTAAACTGAACATATAGCGCAGAGATTACAGCTGGGAACTGCATGTTGCTATTGCATTCACCTCTTTACTGAAGCATACTTCAACAGGACACTGCCCTTTCTCTCCGAAGAATATATTTATCATCCAAATGCAAGTTAGATTGCTGCAAATCATGTTTTACATCATAGATTTCAAGATAATATTGTGCTTTACCAGGTTCTAGTGGAAATTAGAACAAAATATTTTCAGGCCATCAACACAATCTATTTGGCACTTCCTACCTAGGATACCTTTGATGTTGTCATTTTGATGGCACGGTCTGTCAAGTACACGGTGAATTTCCTGCAGTCCGATGAGGATGATTTGCATCGGTAAGTGGAGGCTGTAATTGAAATTCTAACTTGTTCTGTGATAATGGCTGAAATTAAAACCTTCGCTACAGATTTTTTTGTCTTTGTTCATTCATGGGATGAGAGCATCGATGGCTAGGCAACATTTATTGTCCATCCCTAATTGCCCAGAGGGCAGTTAAGAGTCAACCACATTGCTGTGGGTCTAGAGTCACATGTAGGCCAGACCAGCTAAGGATGGCAGTTTCCTTCCCTAAAGGAACCAGATGGGTTTTTCCCGACAATCGGCAATGGATTCATGGTCATCATTAGACTCCTAATTCCAGATATTTTATTGAATTCAAAATCCACCATCTGCAATGGCGGAATTCGCACCCAGGTCGTTATCTGGGTTTCTGGATTAACAGTCCAACGATAATGCCACTAGGCCATCGCCTCCCCATGATATGACATACATGCATTTGGAGCTGGGTTGATTAGCTTGGATGGCTGGATTACAATGCAGAGTAATACTGACAGTGTGGGTTCATTGCCCACACTGGCTGAGGTTACCATGAAGTATTTTCCTTCTCAACCTCTCCCCTCGCCCGAGGCGTGGTGACCCTCAGGTTAAACCACAATCAGTTGTTACCCTCTCTCTAATGAGAGAGCAGTCCTATGGTCTGGTAAGACTACGAGTAGAATTAAAATTAGAAAGACTCATGATTGTCTGTGAAAAGGATATTCTACTTACCTATGTCTTAAATGGGCAATCCCTTATTTTGAAACAGTGACCCCAGTACCATATTCTTCCTTTCAAATATGGTATCTTACAGAAACATATAAAATTATGAAGGGAATAGGTAAGATAGAAGCAGGGAGGTTGTTTCCACTGGCGGGTGAAACTAGGACTAGGGGGCTTTGCTTCCAAATAAGGGGGAACAGTTTTAGGACTGGATGTTTGGCTAGGCAAGTCCAAAGGGCATTGGCCAAACCAAATGTGTGGAGGGTGCCAATGTCCTGAGGTGTTTCTCCCTTGCCCACTTGCAGAGATGAATGGCGACATCACAGAATCCAGCAATGTGTTGTTGCAGTCAGCGTTCTGGAGTGCAGGAGGTGTAGTGATCCCCCACAATAGTCAGAAAGGTCGAGGAACTGTCATCTACACAAGATGCGCTGGTCTGTGGGAAGATGGGTCTACCTGTAAGACAAGCATTCACTCCCTCCTCCACCGACGCTCAGTAGCAGCAGTGTGTACTATCTACAAGATGCACTGTAGCGACTCACCAAGGCTCCTCAGAAAGCACATTCCAACCCATGACCACTTCCATCTAGAAGGACAAGGGCAGCAGACATATGTGAACACTACCACCTCCAAGTTCCCCTCCAAGCTACTCACCATCCTGACTTGGAAATATATCGCCGTTCCTTCACTGCTGCTGGATCAAAATCCTGGAATTCCTTCCCTAATAGCATTGTGGGTCAACCCACAGTAGGAGGACTGCAGCGGTTCAAGAAGGCAGCTCACCACCACCTTCTCAAGGGCAACTAGGGATGGGCAAGAAATGCTGGCCTGCCAGCAACGCCCACATCCCACAAATGAATAATGAATGAAAAAAAAATGCAGCCATTGGTTAGTAATGGTGTTTAAGACCATCAGAAATAGGAATAGGCCATATGGACCATCAAGCCTGCTCTGCCATTCAATAAGACCATAGCTGATCGAACATCCTCACATCCACTTTCCTATGTTTTCCCCATAACTTTTGATTCCCCGACTAATCAAGAATCTATCTGTCTCAGCCTTAAATATACACAAGGACTCTGCCCCCATAGCTCTCTGTGGCAAGGAGTTCCAAAGATTCACAACCCTCTGAGAGAAGAAATTCCTCCTCATCTCAGACTGAAATTGGCGTCCCTTTATTGTGAGATGATTCCCTATGGTCCTAGTCTCTCCCATGAGGGAGTACATCCTCCAGCATCTACCCTGTCAAGCCCCTTAAGAATCCAATACGTTTCAATGAGATAGTCATAGTCATAAAGCATGGCACACTCCCGTGGGTCCAACTTGTCCGCACTGACCAGACATCCCAATCTGACCTAGTCCCAGTTGCCTATGTTTAGCCAATTTCCCTCTAAACGTTCCCTACCTGTGTCCCTACTTTTAAATGACTTCTAAGCTCCAATGAGTAGAGTCACAACCGGTTTAACTTTTGCTTATAAAACAATCCCTCCATACCGGGGATCATCCTAGTGAACCTTTCCTGAACTGCCTCCAATGACACAATATCTCTCTTTAAATAAAGGGACCAAAACTGCTCACAGTACTCGAGATGCAGTCTCACCAGAACCTTGTACAGTGACAGTAAGATTTCCCCACTCTTAGACTGTTCCTGGTCCATGTGATTATTGCAGTAGGGTGACAGGTGTTCCTCACTCAGGTTCAGGACAAAGGTCCACATCCCTACATCCTGCCTCGGGGAAAAAATCCTTTGCATGGAGGGATGGGGAGATGGACATCTGGCCACCCGCCGCCTGTCTGAAGGCACAGGCTCCTGATGAGAGTGTGTGGCACAGCTGTCAGGGCTAGAGCCTTGGGGTGAGAGTGTTGAGGTGGTCCAAGAGAGTGAGGTGGCAGTGCAGAGGGCATGTGGGGTTGGTGGGGGGTAATGACAGTGAGTGAGGAGAGGCATTTTATGCAGCGGAGGGGGTATCAGAGCTTACACCTTGGTGAGACATGGGTATGGTTGCACAGAACTGTGCGGCAGCAGAGGTCAGAGTATTGCACTCATTCTGATGGGGCAGAGAAGATCCTTGACGTTTTTCCTGCTGTCTATTCCTCTCAACCTGGAGATGGCATTGATTCAGGTAGTAATCGCTGACATGGTGCAGTGGCTTAGTCTCCTCTGCCAGTCCTCCAGGAAGAGAACTTCTCTCCTCTCCACCACTCTGTTCACAAGGACCTCCAGGTCCCTCTCTGAGGAGCGCAATACCAGCCTCCCCTTCTCTGTCATTCTCTCACACAGCCGAGTAACCGAGCTTGCAGATGGCAGCTTCCTGCTTTGGAAGAAACTGCATGCCCAAAGGGCTTATGGAGGACCCCCATATGCGAGTTCCTCTGCATGCTTTAATTTGGAACACAAATAAGATGAGATTCTCAGCACAAGGGCTAAAATGGCAATTAAAGCAGCAAGAAAATTTTCTCTGCCTCACAGAGAGAACCATTCCACTAAATTCGCCGTAGATTGTACTTCAACGTAAGATTCAGTTCTGCCTTTAACTTTTTAGATAGCAGTAACCAGAGTAATCACTGTCTGAGAGTAGAGTCATGGAGTTATACAGCATGGAAACAGACCCTTTGGACCAACTGGTTCATGCCACCCAGATATGCTAAATTGATATGGTCCCAATTGCCAGCATTTGGCCCATATCCCTCTAAACCCTTCCTATTCATGTACACATCCAGATGCCTTTTAAATGTTGCAATTGTACCAGCCTCCACCACTTTCTCTAGTGGCTCATTCCATACTCACACCACCTTTTGTCTGAAAAAATTGCCCCTTAGGTCCCTTTTAAATCTTTCCCCTCTCACCTTAAACCTGTGCCCCCTAGTTTTGGCCTCCCCTACCCTGGCTATTCATCCTTTTCATGTCTCTCATGATTTTATAAACGTCTTCCAGTGATATGAGTGACAGATAAATTTCTCATTGTCTGGATAAAGGATGTCAAGGATGGATTCAAGGTGTTTTCTACATTTCGCACCAGTGTCAGAATTTACAATTAGTTTTAGTGGTTTGTTTACTTCTCCTTCACATTGAAAAACAGCATGTTATTATATAAGAAAGCTTAAAGAACTGCAGATGTGGAAATCAGAAACAAAAAGAGAAAACTCAGCAGTACGGGTCTGAAGGAGACTGGACCTGAAACATTAATTCTGCTTTCTCTCCACAGATGCTGCTAGACCTGCTGTGGTTATTCCAGCAATTTCTGAGCATGTTATTGCATCTATGTAAACTTTTCTATTTCCTCTGCTATATAGTGGTGATATATCCAATTTAATGCCTGTTTTAAGTATTCTCATAATGAGAACTCATACGTTTGCCAGGAACTGGCTTCAAACTGTTGCCTTTTCAGAGAGAAAGGAGATCTTAGAAGTAATTTTGGGCAATTAGGGGCAGGCAATAAAAGCTGGCCTAGCCAGTGACACTCTCATCCTTTCAATGAATTTTCTTTTTAATTGTGAAGAGGTGCAGAAGAGACTTTCCAACTGTTACTTAAATGGACAGAAAATTAAGTGCATTATGCACGTGAGTTTCTTATCTTTTCTTTAAGTGGACAAGATGACAAATGGAGAGAGTGGAGTTAGAAAATTACTTACTGTTCTATGCAGGATTCAAAGCCAACTCTATTAAGAAAATACTGCAGTATTCCTTGTGTATTTCTTAAGATAATCAGAATCCTCATAAATAGCTTTTTATTGCAAGGACTAGTAACATTATTTATTTTTATTTTGCAGAATGGAGATCCCCTTCGTCTTCCAGATTCTTCAGTCTGGACCTGTCCATGGCTTAGCATTTTGGTTTGATGTGGCATTTGTGGGTACACAGTAAGTGTATTTTGTTCTCATAATGTCCCATTTTCTCTCAAGGATTTTGTACTTTTGTTATAGTAATTCACATTTCTGTTTTAGAAATATAACGCAAAAAGACTAAACTTGCATCCCACGAGAAATGCATTTTGCCATTATCTATTCTCAAAATGTTATTTGCAGGAGAATAATAAAGCCTCTTCTCCAAAATAATAACAACATCTTGCATTTATATAGTGCCTTTATTAAAAAAAAAAATCCCAAGATGCTGTACAAAATTTGGTGAGGCCGCAGCTGGAGCACTGTATGCAGTTCTGGTCACTGCACTTATAGGAAGGATGTGATAGCACTGGAGGGTGTGCAGAGGAGTTTCATCAGGAATCTATTTGGGATGAAGAGAGGCTGGATAAGCTCAGATTGTTTTCTTTGGAGCAGAGAAGATAGAGAGATATATAAGATTATGAGGGACATGGACAAGATGGATAGGAAGCAGGTATTCCCCTTGAAGGGTCAATAATTACGGGACATAATTTTATGGGGAGTGGAATTGAGCCCCAGTACATTCAACAACTTTTAACAGTGCACTCAGTTACATTACTGGTATGGTAAAATCCCACCCCCATTTCCATCTCTGCTCATCAGTGTCTGTCTTAACCAGTAGAAGAATTATGATTTTTTAATGTGACAGCAACTGCACTTCAAATATTTAATGGATAAAATCTTTCCTTTTCAGAAAAACAGTCTGGCTGTCGACATCTCCTGCTGAACCCCTCACCCACTGGTATCAAGTGCGATGCCTCCTACAAACACCACTGATTGCCAAAGAAGGTGAAACATTTTCAGGGAAGGTCTTATTCGTGGCCAATAAACGGTGAGAAGCAAAATGCATTGACCTGGAAATGACACATTAAAGTTATATGTTTAGTTGGTATGTACATGCTATAAGATGAACAGATAATAAGTTTGTAAAAATGGATATATTAACCAGAAAAAGAGCGAACATTGTGGAGTGCACTCACTTTGAATGTTTGGAGCCTGCGAAATGGGTTAAGATGGATGGCTCTGTGATTTGGCGGTTAGTTGTTCTGCAGGGGTGAAGTTGTTGTCTGGACTACTTCATTGATATCTAAGGCCTGTCAGATGCAATTTTCCTGGTAGACTAGTAAATGGGCAAACATCTCGAATGGCTGTAACTGGCAGATTTAACTATGTGACACGTAGTCCTCTGTTGTGGAATTTTCAGACACAAACATGTGACAACTTTTGACCTGGAAGCAGTAGAGTCATAGAGCTGTAAGGCATGAAACAGAACCTTCGGTCCAACTTGTCCATGCCGACCAGATATTCTAAATTGATCTAGTCCCATTTGCCAGCCTTTGGCTCTTATCCCTCTAAACCCTTTCAATTCATGTACCCATCCAGATGCCTTTTAAATGTTGTAATTGTACCAGCCTCCACCACTTCCTCTGGCAGCTCATTCCATACATGTGCCACCCTCTGCATGAAAAAGTTGTCCCTTAGGTCTGTAAAGAACACGTGTACTTTAAGATGTCTGTGGAATCTGTAATAGCTCAAAAGAATGTTTGATAAGGACTTTTTTTTTAATCAATTATGAAGAAATCAATTGTAACTTCCTTGAATATTAAAAATGCTGATCCATGTGATTCGGAAACTCTAACCTGGAAACAATCCTAGCATGAAGGTAATTCTGATATGAAAGCTATATGGCTGACAGACAGAAGGGAGAGTTTGAGGCAGAAAGTGATTAACACAGTGATGCACCAATTCCTGGAGGCACTGTGCAAGCAGATTAAAACCTGCAGAGCTCGGAGATATTAAAATAACTGGGTGCTTTATCAGAAGCGGTCAAAGCCTGGACTGAAATATTACTAGTTGGTCAGTTGTACAGGAATTCTGGATACTACCCCATCAGGATTATGTTGGCCCAAGGGAAAGAGGGTTCTTGGGCATGTGCCATCCATCTGTGTGCTTTCCATCCACCAACAACACTCAGTAGCAGCAGTATGTACCAAGTACAAGAAGCAGTGCAGAAATTCACCAAGGCTTTGTTAACAGCACCTTCCAAACCCACAGCTACTTCCATCTGGAAGATACATGCAATCTGCAAATTCTTCTCCAAGCCAGCCACCATCCTCACTTGGGAATATATCACTATTACTTCACTGTCACAGGGTCAAAATCCTAGAATTCCTTCCCTAATGGCTTTGTGGGTCTACCTACAGCTCATGGACTGTAGCAGTTCTAAGGCAGCTCGCCACCACCTTTTTACAGGCAATTAGGGACGGGCAATAAATGTTAGCCCATTCAGAGACACTGACATCCCATGAATGAACAAAACAAACGAAGCCATATCAGTCAATTATAATATTCTCAAAGTCTGTGTCAAAATAAAAGTGAGAAGACAATTTATCGATAATTTTCCCAGCTTTAATAAAATCCTGTTCCTTGAAACTTTAATGATGACAGTTAAATTACTTGGGTTTTCTTCCACTTTCCTATCACAGACAAAGCTATGATATTCACATTATGGGTATGGTGGACCAAACTGGCTTCAAGTCTGGAAACCTCCTAGACTTAAAGAATCCTTTTTTCAGGTAAGCATTTTGATACCATAAAATACAATAGCTCATTACTACAGCATCTCTTAAAATACTTTGAACAATAGCGTAGAATTACTGGCTAATGCGATGTTTTAAACAAAGGTGTAAACAGTAATGGGGGGAGGTGATGGCCGAGTGGTATTATCGCTGGGCTGTTAATCCTGAGACCCGGACAATAGTCTGGGAACACTGGTTTGAATCCTGCCATGGCAGATGGTGGAATTTGAATTCAATAAAAAAAAAAATCTGGAATTAAGAGTCTAACAATAACCATGAATCCGTTGCCAGTTCTCAGAAAAACCCATCTGGTTTACTAATGTCCTTTAGGGAAGGAAACTGCCATCCCTACCTGGTCTGGCCTACATGTGACTCCAGACCCACAGCAATGTGGTTGACTCATAACTGCCCTCTGGGCAATTAGGGATGGGCAATAAATGCTGTCTGGTCAGTGACGCCCTCATCCCGTGAATAAGTGTGAAAAAGAAATCAGTGTGATCTATTTCTGTCTCGTAACATAAATTTCAAAAGGTACACGATTTTTCGACTTCATGTTTAGTAGTGTGAATCTGCCCAATGTTCAATCAAACACACAAAAAACATTAATCACTACCCATTTTCTTATTTCTGTTTACCTCCTTTTCATTACTCATGTGTATATTGCTGAGCATCCTCTACACCCTTATTTGGGAATCAGATACTGAATATTGGCTCCTAGATCATGCTATGAATTTATGATGAATTTAATTCCCCTTGTATATTCTATTCCTTCTCAGTTCCATCATTCTATTGAGAATTTCTTGTCCACTCTAAATCTACCCTGGTATATTTGCTGAGATCAAATTATTTTTGTATGGAATTTTTTTCCCCCAGGAAGCCCTATTTCAAACACGCTTGATGCATGGCACTACAACTGAATCAAAAACATTGTCAATAATTGAGGACTGCACTTTTCCATCCAAATGAATGGACTTTTCAAAAAGGTTGAATATTTTTGAGAATATGGAAACTGGTGCCAGAAAACACAGCTACAAGGCTTCTATAACTTTATTAATGTAGACATATGGGTTAAAACTTTTGCTTGAAGTTGCATTATACAAGTTTAGTGAAAATTATTGTCGAAACATAAAAACAAGAAGAAATATGAACAAGGTGATGCCAGTTACACAGTTAAGAGTTCTGTATAAATACGTCTGACATAAGAATGCATTTATGATAAGAAATAAAAACACTGCAGCCAGAAAACTGAAAAGCCCATGCAATGCAGGGAATATGGCGAGTTGGATCCTAACTTGCCTTAGTGACATAAAACAAAGGGTAGTGGTCAGTGGCTGTTTTTGTGAATGGAGAACAGTTTCCCGATGTGTTCCACAGGGCTGTACTGGATCCTGTACTGTTTATGATACACATCAATGACTTAGACTTAAACGTGGGAGGTAGAATTGGGAGTGAAACAAGAACTACCAGTTGATTGTGAAGAGGATGGCTATATATTGCAGAATGATCTCAAGGGTTTGGATGAGTGGATGGAAAAGGAACAAATGAAATTCAAACCAGAGAAGCGTGAAGTAATGGATTTGGGGAGGGCAGACAAAGCAATGGATTACACAATAAATGGAGAGTTTTGAGAGATTTTGGAGTATATGTGCTCAGGTGCCTTGAGTGGGCAAGATGGATAGGTAGGGCAGTTAATAAAAATATAGGATGCTATTCTTCATTGGGTAAGGAATTGAATAGAAAACAGGGATGTTTTGCTAGAGATAGTAGGAACTGCAGATGCTAGAGAATCTGAGATAACAAGGTGTAGACGGACAGGTCAAGGGGGCGGGATGAGGCTAGTAGGTAGGAGATGGGGGTGGGGCTTGATGTGGGACGAGGGGATAGGTGGGAGGAAGGACAGGTTAAGGAGGCGGGGATGAGCTGGGCTGGTTTTGGGATGCGGTAGGGGGAGGGGAGATTTTGAAGCTTGTGAAGTCCACATTGATACCATTGGGCTGCAGGGTTCCCAAGCGGAATATGAGGTGCTGTTCCTGCAACCTTCGGTGACATCATTGTGTCAGGAGGCCCAGGATGGACATGTCGTCTGCAGAATGGGAGGGGGAGTTGAAATGGTTCACGACTGGGAGGTGCAGTTGTTTAGTGTGAACCGAGCGTAGGTGTTCCGCAAAGCGGTCCCCAAGCCTCCGCTTGGTTTCCCCGATGTAGAGGAGGCCACAACGGGAACAGCGGATGCAGTATACCACATTAGCAGATGTGCAGGTGAACATCTGCTTGATGTGGAAAGTCTTCTTGGGGCCTGGGATGGGGGTGAGGGAGGAGGTGTGGGGGCAGGTGTAGCACTTCCTGCGGTTGCAGGGAAAAGTGCCGGGTGTGGTGGGGCTGGAGAGGAGTGGGGAGCAGACAAGGGAGTCACGGAGAAAGTGGTCCCTCCGGAAAGCAGATAAGGGTGGGGAGGGAAAAATGCCTTTCGTGGTGGGGTCAGATTGCAGGTGGCGGAAGTGTCGGAGGATGACGCGTTGGATCCGGAGGTTGGTGGGGTGGTACATGAGGATGAGGGGGATTCTGTTTTGGTTGTTATTGCGGGGAGGGGGTGTGAGGGATGAGTTGCGGGAAATACGGGAGACACGGTCGAGGGCGTCCTCGATCACTGAGGGGGGGAAGTTGCGCTCCTTGAAAAATGAGGACATCTGAGATGTTCAGGAGTGGAATGCCTCATCCTGGGAGCAGATGCGGCGGAGGCGAAGAAATTGGGAATAGGGGATGGCATTTTTGCAGGAAGGTGGCTGAGAGGAGGTGTATTCTAGGTAGCTGTGGGAGTCGGTGGGCTTGAAATGGATATCGGTTCCCAGGTGGTTGCCAGAGATGGAAACAGAGAGGTCCAGGAAGGAGAGAGAGGTATCAGAGATGGTCCAGGTGAACTTAAGGTTGGGGTGGAAGGTGTTGGTGAAGTGGATGAACTGTTCGAGCTCCTCGTGGGAGCACGAGGCGGCCCTGATACAGTCATCAATGTAACGGAGGAAGAGGTGGGGTTTAGGGCCAGTGTAGGTACGGAAGAGGGATTGTTCCACGTAACCTACAAAGAGGCAGGCATAGCTTGGGCCCATGCGGGTACTCATGGCCCCCCCCTTTGTCTGTAGGAAGTGGGAGGAATTGAAAGCGAAGTTGTTGAAGGTGAGGACGAGTTCGGCTAAGCGGATGAGGGTGTCAGTGGAGGGGGACTGGTCGGCCCTGCAGGACAGGAAGAAGCAGAGGGCCTTTAGGCCATCTGTATGGGGAATGCAGGTGTATAAGGACTGGATGTCCATGGTAAAGATGAGGTGTTGGGGACCAGGGAATTGGAAGTTCTGGAGGAGGTGGAGGGCGTGGGTGGTGTCACAGACGTAGGTCGGGAGTTCCTGGACCAAGGGGGAGAAAATGGAGTCGAGATAGGTGGAGATAAGTTCGGTGGGGCAGGAGCAGGCAGAGACAATGGGTCAACCAGGGCAGTCAGGTTTGTGGATTTTGGGAAGGAGATAGAAGCGGGCGGTGCGGGGTTGGGGAACGATGAGGTTGGAGGCTGTGGGTGGGAGGTCACCTGAGGTGATGAGGTTGTGGATGGTTTGGTGGTCGGGGGTGGGGTCATGATCAAGGGGGCGGTAGGAGGTGGTGTCGGAGAGTTGGTGCCTGGCCTCGGCGATGTAGAGGTCAGTGCGCCATACTACAACTGCGCCTCCCTTGTCCGCGGGTTTTATGGTGAGGTTGGGATTGGAGCAGCGGGCTGCACGTTCCGTGGGGGAAGAGGTTCAAGTGGGTGAGAGGGGTGGAGAGGTTGAGGCGATTGATGTTACGATGGCAGTTGGAGATGAAGAGGTCGAGGGAGGGTAGGAGGCCTTGGGGTGGTGTCCAGAAGGAGGGGGGTGTTTTGCTAGAACTAGATAAGACACCGGTTAGGCCACAGTTGGAGTTTTGTGTACAGTACACATTATGGGAAGGACATAATTGCTATTGAGAGGAGATTTAGAAAGTTGCTAGGGCTTGAAAATTGCAAACTAGCTGCGATGAGATTGGAAAGACGAGGGTTCTTTTTCTTAGAACAAAGGAGGTTGCATGGTCATTTAATTTAGGTGTACAAAATAATGAGGGGCTCAGACAGATTGGACAGGGACGACCTGTTTGCTCTTGCAGAGATGTCATTTACTAGGGGCACCAATTTAAGGCAATGATGATAGGGATTGGAGGGGACACAAGACTTTTTCACATAGAGGGTGCATCATTGCCCAACTTGGTGGTTGAGATGGATACACTCAATTCATTTAAAAGGAATTTGGATCTGCACCTGAAGTGTTGTAACCTGTTACACTAGAGACCAGGAGCTGAAAACTGCCTAGATAGTTTAATTGGTGCACACACGATGGATTGAATGGCTACTTGCTGTACAGTGACTTTTCTTTGGTTCTGTGGAAACATCTGAACTTAAGAAATATGATGATATAGCCATTATAGACACTCCCATAACTTGATCTCAGGAGTTAAATATTCCAAACTATGAGGTCTTCAGAAAGAATGGGGATGTTGGGGCAAGATTAATAATATCTATATTGGAATCTGGGAGCTAGTGTTTCCCTGGGGTTTGTACTGGGGCTACAGCTTTTTACCAAATCTATTCATGATTTGTATCAAGGAAAAGAGTTAAATATCCAAAACTGAAGATGCCAGTAAGAAGGAGGCACAGTAGGTTCTGTGGGAAGGCACAAGAATCACAAAGTGATATCGATAAACTAAGTGAATAGGCAAAACTGTGGGGAAAGTCACATCCAGTTTTGATACAATCAGGTTAAATCTGGATTAGTTCTTTAAAGTTTTTAACTAGGACTTGCAGAGGCATAAAGGGATTTAGGTGAACAGTAACTCTAAAAACCAAAGAGAGTAAACCAATAACAAAGGCTGAAGCATTGCTAGCATTTATTTTACACTTGCTGCTCCAAAAATCTGTTGATGATGAATGAATTGAAGTTTTCATTACTGACTGATAGACTTTTATTAAGTAATGGTATCAAAGGCTGTGGAAAAAGGTAGGTCAGTAGATTCAAAGTAAATATCGGTGATCAGCTATTTGAATGGGGACATTTAGACACAAATTTAGAATGGATCAAAGATTGGTATGAATTATTGATTGTTTAATTAATGTTTAACAATTCAGTACATTCTTATATCAAGATTATTAGAAAAGAGTTATCAATAATGTATTATGCAGTTTATTTTCTAAAACAAAAACAGAAAATGCTGGAAATATTCTGGAGGTCAGACAACACATCAGGAGAAAACAGACTAGTTAACATTTCAGAAAGGTCAGCTTTATATGTCAGTTAGACTATGCAGAGGAGCTAGCTAGATGAGTGCTATATAGTAAGGGGCAATCCATAACTATATACAGAAAAAAAACCCAAAAGAGCTGTGGATGCTGGAAATCAGAAACTAAAACAGAAACTGCTAGAAAAGCTCAGCAGGTCTGGCAGCATATGTCGAGAGAAATCAGAGTTAATGCTTTGGGTCGAGTGACCCTTCCTCAGAACTTGGTAATTATATACCCTTGTGTATGCTTCTTACAAAGTATTTTTACAATGGCATTGGCAGACTGTACCAACAAGTCACCTGTACAGCCTTTCTGTGACAAGCCCAACAAACTTCTGAGAATTTTGCATTTCTCCGATTCTGACTTCTTGTTTATCCCCAGTTTCCTTCGTATCACCATTGTTAACTATGACTTTGACTCTCGAGGTTGAATGCTGTAGAATTCCCCTCCTGCCTCTCTATTTGATCACTATTGTTATTGAGAGTACTGTATGTACTAGACAGGAACAAGCCAGAAAGTAACATGCGGTGTTTGTATGAGATGCAGCCACAATTGTAGAATTACTTTTCATTCAGTTCAAGAAACAAAATAAACATTTTGCAAATTGAAAGGGACCTTTGGCATTCAAAAAAAGCTTTGAAATTTGTCTTTGCAGAATAAATCTTAAGATTAGAGATAGTAGGAACTGCAGATGCTGGAGAATCTGAGATAACAAGGTGTAGAGCTGGATGAACACAGCAGGCCAAGCAGCATCAGAGGAGCAGGAAAGCTGATGTTTCGGGTCTAGACCCTTCTTCAGAAATGGGGTAGGGGAAGGGGATTCTGAAATAAATAGGGAGAGAGGGGGAGAGATTAAGATTGTTTCTTTTGAATCATCAGTTTCTCCAGTATAAACATTAGAATTCTTTAGTCTCTTATTTTTGCTTTCTGTTTATTCATCAGTTTTTATGAATGAATCCTTGTGAAAAATCCCTCTCTAAACTGACACCAGCATATCTACCAACAAGATACTCAGGTGACCCATAGGAGCAGGACTGCAATGCAACAACTAGACTCAGATGTTTTTGTGATGCCTCCAAGTTGCATTAATCCCTCTTATAGAACATTTTAACAATTTGTATTAAAGAATAAATGAACACACATTGTGTGAATTGAAGTAGTTTCTCTGCGAAATATCAAATAACGTCTGAAATCTTCAATCAAAAGCGGCCAACCAAACCATCCATCAACAACTGCAAAGCAGAGAAATAATGTAATAATCATGTAGATATTTATAATTGTAGCCATGTTCATGTGCCTGTGCATGTAGACAGTGGTTGGTACCCATAGAAGTTCAGATCTGATCAAAAATATTATGTAAAAAGGACAGTCTTAACAAGCTGGACAGTAATGTAACAATTTTATTTCAACTTTCATAATAATAGATAAATTATATTGAGAAAATGCTTTAGAGCAAACATCATGATAATCAAATATTTAATAGGTATGGCTTATTTATATCTTTGCATTCTATGTAATATATTGGACATTTGTAGCTATATTACAGTGGAAAATATGTGCTGTATAGCTCTTAGCGTAGAATTATTAACTTCTTTAATTAACTTTACACTCAGTAAAATGGGGGATGTCACTGCAAGGGGATGCGACATATTTTGTCATCCAGTGCAACAAACTTATTCCTGGGTTGGATGCTATAGAGTAAATGTACTCTTTCCCAACAATGAACAACAACCTGAAGGTCAGAGGAGTACCAGCTAGAAACCAAACCAGCCTTTCTTGCAGTATGCTTAACTGAGACGGCTAGTTTAGTCCTAACTTTTGCCAGGTTATGGGTGATTTTATCATGGCAGCCATGAGAAGAGAAAGGCCAATCTGCTACCAAACTCTGTATCAAATTATTGATGCTCTTTATTATTATTAGTATTTTCAAAAGCTGTTCAAATGTTACCAGTTCACCCACTTCCAAATCAAAGCAATCAGTCAAATTTATTGTTATTTTTCTTAGACTGTATTTGTAAAAGGAAAATCATGACTTCAAGCCAATAATTTGAAGTCAGTATTGATGAATGAGGTTTTGAGAATATTGGACGTGTTCTGTTTAATTTTGCAGAGATGCCTAGAAACCATGCTTTGTAATGCTTTGTAATTCATACAGCCAAAACAAGGTCATGAGACATCTGCACGGTCCCGATCCTAAAAGGCTCCAGGCCAAGTGCTAGTTCTGATGGTGCGCGTGTAAGGGTTTTGAAGATCTGCTGGGTTTTCCTTCCAAAGGATTGTTCCCCTTGTTTTCTACTGAAAACACCGTTCTGCTTTACAATCTGAGTTTCCTAGAATGTCAGCATGTTTAAAGAAAGCTATTCAGACTTGCAACTTGTTGTACATGAACTCAAAATACAGAATTTAAGGGAGATATTTTCTCGTGTGTAGGACAAAAATTGTTAGAGGTGAAAACTAAACTCTTGCATGTATGACACTATGTTTCTTGTATTATTTAAAGAATGGAGGATCACTATTATGACACTGAAGCCAGTAGACATGAAATAAATGCAGCAGGAATCGGTCCAGTTAATATAATCACTTTTGTAACAAACCTCTGTTAGTGGCAGGCCAGCACCCTACTGCTTACTGAATAACATTGGGTGATATCAGTAATGTAACATCTCATTTGAACTGAATGATATGTGAGAAAGCTACCTCATACCAATGGCTTTTGCTTGTATCATCAAACAGAAAGAAAATAAATTCCAACATTGCCTTATATTGTGTCATTTGGGTCTTAATATTTATATTGAATCTGAATATTGAGTAACTTCTGTGGAAAGGAATTCTAACCCCTCAAAAAAGGAAACAACCTTTGAGTTTCCACCTTCTCCAGTCAAATCAAGATCTTATATGTTTCAGTAAGATTACATCTTCTTCTAAACTCCAATGGATATACACCTAACTTGTTCAACTTTTCACATGATAAGCCCTTCAACCCAAGAATGATCCTAGTGAACCTTCTCTGAACTGCTTCTGGAGAAACCATACCTCTTTTGTTTCAAATAGGGAGATCAGTATTGTCCACAATATCCAGATGTGGTCTCACCAACATTGTGTACAGCTGCAGTAAAACCTCCTTACATTTATAACAAAAACACAAGTTGCTGGAAAAGCTCAGCAGGTCTGGCAGCATCTGTGAAGTTAAAAAACCGTTAACTTTTGGGTCCAGTGACCTTTACTCAGAACTAATGGGAAAACGTCAGTTTATATGCAGAAAATAGGGAGGGAGATGGGGTAGGGAGTAAACAATAGGATAGAGCTTGAGAGAGATAGTAGGAACTGCAGATGCTGGAGAATCCGAGACAACAAGGTGCAGGGCTGGATGAACACAGCAGGCCAAGCAGCATCATAGGAGCAGAGAGGCTGACGTTTCGGGCCTAGACCCTTCATCAGAAAAGGGGGAGGGGAAGGGGGTTTTGAAATAAATAGGGAGAGAGTGGGAGGCGG